ACGTTTGCTTTGTTTAGTCTTAAGAACATAATGAGGGTTCGAACTCCTTCCACACAGCCGGAAAGGAAAACAGACACCACCAGACTTAAAATATCATATATTTTCTCTATAGAAAAATCGTATACCTGGGTATATCATGTTGGTGTTGTGTAAAGATCTTCGTCTTAAGGAACAGGCACGTATATCCTGGTGAAAGGAGTTAGCAGATATGATAACCGGAGCAGCAGGCAGCAGGCACGGGTCCTGCTTACGTGTGTTCTATTTTAAAGAAAACATTTTCTTACGCTCTGAGGAAAAGGATATTGGTTTATGTATATTGGAAATATACCTCGCATATTTACAAGGCGAAGGTGTCTTGTAGAGGTGGGCGTGTGTTGTGAGGTTGTCGTGAGGAGGCGAAGAAATTATGAGAATCTTATGGTCTCGTGAGTGGGAAGAAATGTCTTGTTAGAATGGTAAGATATTATGAGGAGACTCAGGTTCCATGAGGAGGTGAATACAGAGTTCCTCAGTTGATTGGAGCTGGGAAAGACTGATATTTCTGCGTGTTTGATTAAATATAAAAGCATTTCGCAGTCTGTTAACTTTCAGAAATGTTCAGGGGACGTTCGTATGTAAGTCAGAGACGTATCAACGCTATTTTTTTTCCTCGAAGTGAAGGATTCAAAAATAGTCTCAATAATGATACACACACACACACACACACACACACACACACACACACACACACACACACACACACACACACACACACACACACACACACACACACACACACACACACACACACACACATGCAGGCTGGAGTGAGAGGGAAGGTACTCCGGTGGGTAGAGGAATACCTAAGCAACAGGAGACAACGAGTCTGTGTGAGGGGTGAGGCCTCAGATTGGCGAGACGTCACAAGTGGAGTCCCGCAGGGGTCAGTCCTTGGACCTATACTGTTTCTGGTATATGTAAATGATCTCCCAGAGGGTATAGATTCGTTCCTCTCAATGTTTGCCGACGATGCAAAAATTATGAGGAGGATTGAAACAGAGGATGATAGTAGGAGGCTACAAGATGACCTGGATAGACTGAGTGAATGGTCCAACAAATGGCTGTTGAAGTTCAACCCGAGTAAATGCAAAGTAATGAAACTAGGCAGTGGAAACAGGAGGCCAGGCACAGGATACAGAATAGGAGATGAAGTACTTAATGAAACAGACAGAGAGAAAGATCTAGGAGTTGATATCACACCAAACCTGTCTCCTGAAGCCCACATAAAGAGAATAACGTCTGCGGCATATGCGAGGCTGGCTAACATCAGAACGGCGTTCAGGAACCTGTGTAAGGAATCATTCAGAATCTTGTACACCACATATGTAAGACCAATCCTGGAGTATGCGGCCCCAGCATGGAGCCCGTACCTTGTCAAGCACAAGACGAAGCTGGAAAAAGTCCAAAGGTATGCTACTAGACTAGTCCCAGAACTAAGAGGCATGAGTTATGAGGAAAGGCTGCGGGAAATGCACCTCACGACACTGGAAGACAGAAGAGTAAGGGGGGACATGATCACAACCTACAAAATCCTCAGGGGAATCGACCGGGTAAACAAGGATGAACTATTCAACACTGGTGGGACGCGAACAAGGGGACACAGGTGGAAGCTGAGTACCCAAATGAGCCACAGAGACGTTAGAAAGAACTTTTTCAGTGTCAGAGTAGTTAGTAAATGGAATGCATTAGGAAGTGATGTGGTGGAGGCTGACTCCATACACAGTTTCAAATGTAGATATGATAGAGCCCAATAGGCTCAGGAATCTGTACACCAGTTGATTGACGGTTGAGAGGCGGGACCAAAGAGCCAGAGCTCAACCCCCGCAAGCACAATTAGGTGAGCACAATTAGGTGAGCACACACATACACACACACACACACACACACACACACACACACACACACACACACACATTGTGCGAAGAAAGCTAGTGGAACATCTGGAGCGAAAGAACTTTGTAACACAGCATCAACATGGATTCAGGGATGGCAGGTCCTGCCTCACAGGGTTACTTGAATTCTACGACCAGGCAACAAAAATAAGGCAAGAAAGAGAAGGGTGGGCAGACTGCATATTTTTGGATTGTCAGAAAGCCTTTGACACAGTGCCACACAAGAGGTTAGTGAAAAAACTGGAGATGCAGGCTGGAGTGAAAGGGAAGGTACTCCGTTGGATACAGGAGTACCTAAGTAACAGGAGACAACGAGTCAGTGTGAGGGGTGAGGTCTCAGATTGGCGAGACGTTACGAGTGGAGTACCGCAGGGGTCAGTCCTTGGACCTATACTGTTTCTGATATATGTAAATGATCTTCCAGAGGGTATAGAATCGTTTCTCTCAATGTTTGCCGATGATGCAAAAATTATGAGGAGGATTGAAACTGAGGACGATAGTAGGAGGCTACAAGATGACCTAGACAGACTGAGTGAATGGTCCAACAAATGGCTGTTGAAGTTCAACCCGAGTAAATGCAAAGTAATGAAACTAGGTGGTGGAAATAGGAGGCCAAACACAGGATACAGAATAGGAGATGAAGTACTTAATGAAACGAACAGAGAGAAAGATCTAGGAGTTGATATCACACCAAACCTGTCTCCTGAAGCCCACATAAAAAGAATAACGTCTGCGGCATATGCGAGGCTGGCTAACATCAGAACAGCGTTCAGGAACCTGTGTAAGGAATCATTCAGAATCTTGTACACCACATATGTAAGACCAATCCTGGAGTATGCGGCCCCAGCATGGAGCCCGTACCTTGTCAAGCACAAGACGAAGCTGGAAAAAGTCCAAAGGTATGCCACTAGACTAGTCCCAGAACTAAGAGGCATGAGTTACGAGGAAAGGCTGCGGGAAATGCACCTTACGACACTGGAAGACAGAAGAGTAAGGGGAGACATGATCACAACCTACAAAATCCTCAGAGGAATCGACCGGGTAAACAAGGATAAACTATTCAACACTGGTGGGACGCGAACAAGGGGACACAGGTGGAAACTGAGTACCCACATGAGCCACAGAGACGTTAGAAGGAACTTTTTCAGTGTCAGAGTAGTTAACGGATGGAATGCATTAGGCAGTGATGTGGTGGAGGCTGACTCCATACACAGTTTTAAATGTAGATATGATAGAGCCCAGTAGGCTCAGGAATCTGTACACCAGTTGATTGACAGTTGAGAGGCGGGACCAAAGAGCCAAAGCTCAACCCCCGCAAGCACAAATAGGTGAGTACAAATAGGTGAGTACACACACACACACACACACACACACACACACACACACACACACACACACACACACACACTAAACCGAATTCTGCTGCAGACTTGAAGACTGGCTGTTTCTCTGGTCTGGTAAGCAGAGGAGTACTGTAGGTCTGTAACTCCAAAACGGAAGCGGGTTTAAGAACGAGGGGTTGGAAGATCATATTTGGCTATGAGAAGAACTTTCTTAAATCTAGAAATGCTCAACTCTATGCTCTTTGTTTTAGCTATAACTGAAATGATTATATGTATGCAAGAATCTATAAATTATATTGTCTATAAAATAAATTATTATCTATATATTAAAATGTCTGTAAATAAAATTATCTATAAATAAAATACAAATTATTATATATATGTTAAATGATCTATAACAGTCTTTTGACATTTGTTCTCATTTCTACTTCAAAAATTTATAAATTTACAAAATACGTCTATACCTTATATGATCTAAATAAAATGTCTTTGAATTAAGGAACATTTTCTTAACAAATTTGGACCTGCGTTATATGCTTAAATTTTATTTTCATTTCGCTCATTTTAACATTGACCAATATAAATATATAGGCACCTCCCCTGAAACAAAGGAATTTTAATGTTATGCAAATTCAATAATACAAAATGCAAAATAGAAACGTACTCACGTACTCATGCAAATCAACCCACTCACACACACACACATGAAGCCGTGTACACATAATTATATACACACGCATGTGCACACAGTTACACACACACACCCATAAACATGAATAGTTAATGAGCTGAGTGGGTTAGATGAATATCAAGTGTAAATATGTTAAAAGAAGGATATGTTATTGCATTAGATTACGTGTTAACAGAAAGCGGGACTTTGGAGTCGAGGATTGATCCTGAGAGCACAACACACCTACTAAGCGAGGGACACGCAGGCTAGTAAACCACGAATGGTTCGCTATTTAGTTGATATAAGGTTAAAAGGCTGGACCCAGGGACTGAAGCTCAACATGCGCATATACTATTAAGGGCAAACACACACACACACACACACACACACACACACACACACACAAACGTGATTGCATATTTAGTATGTGTGGCCACCACAGGTGTGGCCGCCACAGGTGTGACCGCCACAGGTGTGGCCGCCACAGGTGTGACCGCCACAGGTGTGCCTACCACAGGTGGTGAACAATAAACAATGTGTCGTCCCACAGCACGAGCTGGTGGTGGCGGCGGCGGCCAGGTGTGGCCACCACAGGTGTGTGGCCACCACAGGTGTGACCACCACAGGTGTGGCCAATGTGTCGTCCCACAGCACGAGCTGGTGGTGGCGGCGGAGGTGTGGCCACCACAGGTGTGGCCACCACAGGTGTGAGGCCACCACAGGTGTGACCACCACAGGTGTGCCTACCACAGGTGGTGAACAATAAACAATGTGTCGTCCCACAGCACGAGCTGGTGGTGGCGGCGGAGGTGTGGCCACCACAGGTGTGTGGCCACCACAGGTGTGGCCACTACAGGTGTGACCACCACAGGTGTGACCACCACAGGTGTGGCCACCACAGGTGTGACCACCACAGGTGTGGCCACCACAGGTGTGTGGCCACCACAGGTGTGACCACCACAGGTGTGACCACCACAGGTGTGACCACCACAGGTGTGGCCACCACAGGTGTCCCTACCACAGGTGGTGAACAATAAACAATGTGTCGTCCCACAGCACGAGTTGGTGGTGGCGGCGGAGGCGGCCGGGAGGACCGTCCACTCCATGGTGCAGGTGACGGTGGCCGACGTCAACGACAACGCTCCACACTTCCTCCAGAGGGACATCCAGGTGGCCGTCGTCGAGGAGGACGACCGCCACCTTCCCGCCACCATCTTCAAGGTCAGTCTCACATTAGTTCTCAAGTGTATGGGGGGGAATGAAACATTAAGTGCCAGGCCTTTTCCGGAATAACAGAGAATATGTTCACAGGACATGTGCCGATAACAGGCATTGCACAACCCGTTCTTGCACTTGCTTATAGTCATTATCTTGCTTATGAATAAGTGCATATGTGACATACTAATTTATTGTGAATATTTGAGTTTACCTTGAAAAGCTGAACAGAAAACCATAACATAACCTAATCTTCTTAGTATGTTAAGATATTACAATTAGTACTCAACCTATACCTATATTGATATTACAGTTTTATAAAAAATAATAAAATAAAAATAAAATATTTAAAAAATTGTAAAGTAACTCAGGATATTGTCAAATTTTGTATAAAATCTCTATTGTTTAATAAAATTAAGAGAAAAAGTTATTGCCTTGAAAAAAATATTACTTGGAATATGCCACATATTTACTTATTTATAAGCGAAATAAATAGTGACTGTACGCAATAAGTCATATATGTGCTGTCTTGTGCGAGAGCAGGTTGCATTCTAATAGGATCGAACTCAAGCATCTATCCTTATTAATCAAATAAGGACTTTGAAGAGTTTACTACTGCTATTCTATACATACAAGAGGCAACCAATTGACAATGATTTGGCACACCGGTAATACTAAACTGTTTTCCTCTCACACCAGTTTAAATTAATATTAATATTTGATGCATGGTTAGAACTATGTAAGGTTATGTAAGGTTATGTAAGGTGTTTACGTTGGTGTTGGGAGTCATTATAGTGTGACTTGACTACAGACGAGTACGGTCCATCCAACTATGGTGTGTTGCATACCGTATTTTTATCGATGCATCAAATACATGTCTGTGGTCCACTAACAACCGAATATTTGCTGTGCTGTATATGCATGCATAAAATCATATGTTTTTCTACAATACAACTTTAAAATTGCTTTCAATAAATGTATGATGAAAATGCTAATTTTTTTTATTAACATAATAACTTGTAAATGGATGCGTCTTGTACGCCGGTAAAGACGGTGATAATTCAACACACTTGAGAAGTAAAGTAAATTATGTTTTCGTTCGAACGTTTCATTAACGAAGTTATATTCTGGGTCTTGTTGCTATTAAAGTGAGTCATCGGCTGGAATTATAATATTGGAAATTGAATGAAAGGTCAGATGCTATTCACTTTATTGGTGACTTATCTAACTTTATTAATGGTGATACTATTAAATTTCAGTAAACCTTATTACTGTTCTCTCTCTCTCTCTCTCCCTCTCTCTCTCTTTCTCTCTTTCTCTTTTTCTCTCTTTCTCTCTTTCACTCTCTGTCTCTGTCTCTGTCTGTCTCTCCCTCCCTCCCTCCCTCCCTCCCTCCCCAGTGTATAGCATATGCAATTTAAGTATCGAGGTACCAAAACATGAGACAGTAAGAGTATGATATCCTAATTTTTACGCACGGTATCGTATAAGCAGGATATCTTTTATTCATAAGATATCCGGTCTATGTACAGTTGTACACGGCGTTTCCTTCAGCAGTTGTCTCTAGCGCCCACAGATAGTGCCAGTGCTGGGAAGGCCATACACTCCTCTATCTCAGAATTAACGCTTAAACAACGGCAATTCACCCAAATCCTGGAGAACATTTTTGTATATTGGCTTTGTGTGGGTGTAGCCTGCTCAGGGGTATTACCATATTCAATCTATTTCAAATTTGATTTTGGAAAAGCGGTGAGAGATGCCAAATCCTGGCGGCTGGTGATTGTCGAGTTAGTACAAAGCTGTAGATTTACGGGGGAAGTGGGTGCGCCTGGTCAAAGGATAGCCATGATATCTGTATATAACATGTTCCAGGGAAATGGAATTAGTCAGTGTACTTTCTCTCTGGTCTGCTGGCCTGGTTGTACTCTCTCTCTGGTCTGCTGGCCTGGTTGTACTCTCTCTCTGGTCTGCTGGCCTGGTTGTACTCTCTCTCTGGTCTGCTGGACTGGTTGTACTCTCTCTCTGGTCTGCTGGCCTGGTTGTACTCTCTCTCTGGTCTGCTGGCCTGGTTGTACTCTCTCTCTGGTCTGCTGGCCTGGTTGTACTCTCTCTCTGGTCTGCTGGCCTGGTTGTACTTTCTCTCTGGTCTGATGGCCTGGTTGTACTCTCTCTCTGGTCTGATGGCCTGGTCGTACACTCTCTCTGGTCTGTTGTCCTGGTCGTACACTCTCTCTGGTCTGCTGGCCTGGTCGTACTCTCTCTCAGGTCTGCCCTTCAGGAGCTACTGTTCTTGTGGTCTCGCCCGTCATGCTGCTAGATACCATAGTGATGCTACAAGGAAAGTTACTTTAAAGTTTCAGTTAAGAATGTTACGGGCGTTTTAGAGGCCTATTGTGAGCCTCGTGGCGCAGGCACTCGTGTGCTTCAGACATGATTTCATAACACCGATGATCAAAGTGAATATATATTATTACTCACGATATGCAAAATGTTACCCACGATGTTTGCTTTTGTATGATAGAACTATGTTGGGTGTATAGATGTTTTGGGGAGTTTCTTGTTGAGTCGTGCAGTGTTGGGGCGTTTACTTGGTTACCTACCTCGAGGTGCTTCCGGGGCTTAGCGTCCCCGCGGCCCGGTCGTCGACCAGGCCTCCTGAACTTGGGTGGAGGTGTGTTCGCCTAACCATAAATTATCAGCCGGTAACTGGTGTAATTATTTTGATAATTGTTTGCCAATTTTACCACAGTCAAGCTCTGGCAAACCTGTCAGCTTTGATTAAGTTGGTGATTTAATTATCGTCTAGAGTTTATCCTGAATTCTAATGTCACACATGTTAACGGTACTAAAATTGCATGTTGGAGGCATTTTAGGAGCGTGTTAGCTAACATTTTTGAAACACGTGATGAGCGTTTGGGAGAGCATATTAGGTGAGGTGATGGGGAGCGTGTTCAGGAGCATGGGCAATTCTCAGACCCACAAGTTACCCTCGGAAGTAACACAAGGAAGGGTTACGGGCTCACCATAGCCCGTGCTACATGGACATTTTGTTCCGAGTAGCTGAATCTAAAACAACAACAAGAGACACAGGGAGGCTAGCAGGTGACATAGGAATATTGGGAGAGAAAGAAAATAGTTATTATCACTCATTTATTGTTTAGTGACGCTGACAATACTAAAAATCACTTGACGTGTTTATGTCTGATTTTACACTATTTTAACATAAAATTAACCACCGACTTTAATTTCGGTCTTTTCATTAGTGCTACTTACAAGTTATATTCCGTGTGTGTGTTTTTTTTAACATTTCTTTGAATTAGTTTTCCAAGATTTGATTTTATTACTAATAAAAACACCCAGACGAGACACTGGACCCGAAAAAGGACAGTCACGCATGGGACTGAGTATGTGGGAGGTCTTGAACCGCAGCCTGGGGTCCCATGTTCAGCCTGAGTTCAGCCTGATATGTTAGGCTGAGAAGGCAATGCAAAATATGTGCTCATGTACGCCAGGAAGTCAGCCAGGCAACGAAATATTTGCAATCGCCTTGATGGGGGGCGTAAAGGCGCGGGCCTCAGGACGGGTGAAACAGTAATTAAGCTGCAACTTTTGCGAATACCACCACCACCACAACCACCACAACCACGAATACCACCAGCACCACCACCACCACCACCATGAATACAACCACCACCACCACCACCACCGCACTACCAGCACCACCACCACCACCACCACCACCACTACGAATACCACCGCAGTTAGGACTTGCGCAAGGAAAGTCTGAAACTCAGCGCCCTTCAACTCAAGACTTGCTCAAAGTAAGTCTGAAAGTTGAATGTATACGGTTGGTGTGCTGAAGGAAAAGCGGGAGTGGATATTAGTGTGAGTTGAGTGTCGTGTTGACTGCAGCGTGTCAAGTATTATGCCTCACGCTAATTATACGAGAACTGACGCGACGTAGCAGACATGTCAACTGACAGAGGTAATATTGGCGGGAAAGTCTGAAGTCTGGGGGCAGGTCTTTCAGTTAGAACTGTTTCCTGTTGTAACTGTATTGTACTTGTTTCAGCTCACAACAAACCATACACACACACGCACACATTTATGAAGTGTGTACATATATTTACACACACACACACAGAAGCGTGTACATATGTGTACTCACGCCGCGACATACACACAGACACACATGAAAACCATATATTTATTTCGCGATGTAATTTGTTGCTTTACATACGCTGTTTATTGCTTATATTTATTGCCAGTAACAGGGAATGTTGTAGAGAGGTTGTATGACTGGGTGTGTTGTATTGACCGCGCGGGCAATATAGCAACCCAGGTGAGGCCAGGTGTATATTGGCCCTGACCTCACCAGCGATGTAACAACTATACATTGTAATGTTTTGTATGGATTAATGGTTGAATTACTGTCGTCGCTCTCGCTTCCTACATTATTTAAGAGTCATTGTTCCCCCTGTCATTAAGTAAAAGGAAAATACACACACACACACACACACACACACACACACACACACACACACACACACACACACACACACACACACACACACACACACACACACACACACACACAAATATACCTCATCGAGGGCGTGGATGTGACAGAAATGCTCGCGTATAATCAGGGAACCCGTCATATAGACAGAATGTACAACTATCGAAGCCATCCTGTTCCTTGACAACACCCAAACTAAATGAAATAGCTTACCCTCGAATACGTGACGAGGAAGGTTTTCTGTTTCGCGTCATTCTGTTTCTGTTATTCAGAATTGTATATCTTTTTCCAAGCGTTTAATTCAAGTATATATATATATATATATATATATATATATATATATATATATATATATATATATATATATATATATATATATATATATATATATATATATATCTATTTCATATATATTTGACATGTATTATATTTTCAACAACGAAAATACGCTTCCAATTCACATTTTGTATATTACTGCGTTAAAAGAATAAATATCGACTGGGAATTACATAGGGATTTTGATCTCTATCCAGGATGAGCTACAGGAACGATGTATATATATATACACACCGAGAAGTATACCCAGCTTCTGTGTGTGTGTGTATATACATCGAGGATTTAATTTATTCCTGTGCTATGTTCAGGGTCACTATTAAGTATACCTGGTGGTGGGGTCAGAAAGATAGTTTGGTGGCATTATTGACCTCGTCCACAAGATCAGTTTTCTTGTGTAATCTTAAGTAACACACAAATGTAGACCCTAGTGATGGTAGACATTTGTGTGAAATTGTTTTATCTCTCTCTCTCTCTCTCTCTCTCTCTCTCTCTCTCTCTCTCTCTCTCTCTCTCTCTCTCTCTCTCTCTCTCTCTCTCTCTCTCTCTCTCTCTCTCTCTCTCTCTCTCTCTCTCATCTCTCTAAGCCAGTCGCATAACGCTGGTGTCAACTGTCTATCACTTCTCCAGTTCTCAGAATATATTCGACTAACAACTACAGTCATTTATCAAGACACAGTCAGTGTGACTGTATACACAACTGTGTCTTGATATATTGTTCTGTGCATCTGTTTAGGTGTTTGTCAGTCTTGTTCCTCAGTAATTAATCTGAACTAGTAATTATCTTCAGCTTCGTCTACATTAAACAAGGAGGAAAGTTTGGGTTCAGTCGGGTAAAGTTTGGGGTTGAAGGCGCGGGTGTGGTTGACGGTGCAGGTGTGGTTGATGGTGCGGGTATGGTTGAAAGCGAGGATGTTCTCGAAGTTCGTGTTGTAGTTTTTTTTTCACCCAACTCTTGGGGTGTGAAAACTGTGGCAGCTAGTCAATAGCGTTGATCATTCTCACTTAACCTTTGAGACTTCCTTTGGGCAGAAAATCTGGAGATAAAGTTCTGTTAAGCTCTCCTGTTGAGACCAAAATGTTGGCTTCTACGACAGAGGACCCAGAAGTTCATGATTCCTTGACGTACAAGGAGAAGCCATCCGCCTCCAATGCTAACAATGCCACCAGGATCACCAGGTTATTACTGCTCTTCTTTCTACAGCACGCACACACACACACACACACACACACACACACACACACACACACACACACACACACACACACACACACACACACACACACACACACACACACACTATAGCGTCTGGAGTTACCCTCCAGACGCTGGCCTTAACCCAAGCACCACGATATACTCACCAGCTCCACCACCAGGGGTCGACCCGAACCCCAGGTGTCTGGGGGTGACCTGTAGGGTGGTGGTGGCTGGATCCCACTGTCCTGCCCTGGAGATGTTCTCAGATGTGGCACATTACACCAGTGTCTCTGAATGTATACATAAATGCACACATGCATATTCAAAGTATACATAGTCATACATATGCTTATTACCATTAAGGATGCTATATGTGCAAAGGGTGTCATTTTGTGACTTTTATGGGAGTGCCAACACTTATGATAATGTTGATTCGGCAAAAAAAAATTATTGTTAACCCACTTTGCCAGGAACAACAACAACACTTGAAAGGAACATGAAAATTAAGTACTACCACATTTGCTTTTGAAAACACTCACTTGTGAAAATAAAAGTTAACATCTGCAGTCTTGCATTGTCTTGTATTCACGACGCACAGTGCACAGGTGGGTGCTTGAGACGTCGTAAACTATATCAAGCTTCATCAACACCACCAGGGACGCCCGCTGCAGGACGTCAGTTATCAGTTACGTTATCTTGGTGCCAACAAACTTTAATGGAAGATGATATTGTGTCAGATGTTGTATCTTGTCATCCAAGGGTGTGACAGTGGTCCTACTGCTGTATAGTGTCATCCAAGGGTGTGACAGTGGTCCTAGTACCGTATAGTGTCATCCAAAGGTGTGTCAGTTGTCCTACTGCTGTAGTGTCATCCAAGGGTGTGTCAGTGGTCCTACTGTTGTATAGTGTCATCCAAGGGTGTGACAGTTGTCCTAGTACCGTATAGTGTCATCCAAGGGTGTGTCAGTGGTCCTAGTACCGTATAGTGTCATCCAAGGGTGTGTCAGTGGTCCTAGTACCATATAGTGTCATCCAAGGGTGTGACAGTGGTCCTAGTACCGTATAGTGTCATCCAAGGGTGTGACAGTCAGGGTGGTTGACTGTAGAAGGGCCGTACGACACTTGCAGTATAAAATATAAAACTGACATATTCTACATAAGTTGACAAAATTCTTGGCTTGTTTACAAGTTAAAGTTCCTATAGACGAATCAGTAATGTGGGTAATTCCCCCAAAATGAGCTCCTGTTTTGATTAAAATATTGTTAAAATGTTAAAATAATGAAAGTCTTGTCAGTATGCTTTCAGTAATATCACAAAAATACTCGGCTGAATTAAATATAAATTGGATTCATAATAATTGTATTGTCTGTGTATATATATTTACCCTTATCAAAATGTTGCTTACTTAGCGTATTATTGGTCGTAATGGTATTCTTCCTTCTTATAGAATATAATGCGTGTTTTTTAAGATTTGTGTTTAACAGTCTTAGCTTATTTTGAACATAATTTGTGGAATCCAAATGTTTCTCTTGCACTCAGTGAGTGCTGAATTTGGTTCTTTGTTCAGTGAGTTCTCAGTCTGGTCCCGTGTTCAGCCTTCTCCTATACGTCCTATTACTTGGACTGGAAGGTTCAGCAATGACCTCGTTTCTTGCAGGACTTGTTCAATCCTCGACTATCCCAGCAGTTGGGCACCTAGCATTCCCTCCCCCCGTCCTCACACACAAACACACCAGCTCCTTCACTATCCTGCCCTCATATCTCGTCCATGTCCAAGCCAGGCCGGCGGTGCGCTCTTTCCTGATAACTGACCATGATATCGACGATATTCCCAGACACCCCGCACCCTGCCAGAGGGCTGGGTGGTTATCTGCACCTGAGGGGCCCGGGAAGGCACCAGCATCTTAATACAAGGCCCCAAATCACTGCCTTCTTCACTGCCTTCTTCACTGCCTTCTTCACTGCCTTCTTCACTGCCTTCTTCACTGCCACCAAGAGGCACTATGCGGCTTGATGTGTCCAATTAAATACTTTCGTCTAATTTTGACCACCAAACAGTTGTTCTCCAGAATTGGGGTTACGAATCATATATTTGTTATCGTGAAATTCCTGAGGCAGTGTTCGAATTTAGCGGTGATAATTGTTTTATTTTTTGTGCGAAAGTTTGTCTTGATTCTCGTGCATTTGTTTATTAGGAAGCTATGAGGTAGGCCACGGGATGCCAGCGCCAACAGGCAGGTGGACCAGGGCACGTGATGCAAGCACCAACAGGCAGGTGGACCAGGGCACGTGATGCCAGCACCAACAGGCAGGTGGACCAGGGCACGGGATGCCAGTACCAACAGGCAGGTGGACCAGGGCACGTGATGCCAGCACAACAGGCAGGTGGACCAGGGCACGTGATGCCAGCACCAACAGGCAGGTGGACCAGGGCACGGGATGCCAGTACCAACAGGCAGGTGGACCAGGGCACGGGATGCCAGCGCCAACAGGCAGGTGGACCAGGGCACGGGATGCCAGCACCAACAGGCAGGTGGACCAGGGCACGGGATGCCAGCACCAACAGGCAGGTGGACCAGGGCACGGGATGCCAGCACCAACAGGCAGGTGGACCAGGGCACTAACATAATACTGGTGTTGCAGGTAGAAGCTGTGGACCCCGACAAGGTGGACTCTGCCGGGCTGGTGTACAGTGTTGGAGGTGACGGAGTTGACGGTCACTCCCCCACCCGCGCCTTCTTCACTATCAACCCCCTCACCGGTCACCTCCTGCAGCTGAGG